TTGTGAAAATATCTTAAGACTATAAATGATGGTATGAAGAGTTGGAGAGGAACAGGGAGAGACAGAAAGCAATAAAGGGTCCCTACACAGAGAATAAGATCAAAAACCCATTTTGAGGAAATAATCTACTGAGAAAGACCTTCAAGGCAATGGAAGTCAGGAGACTCCAAAACAGGGAATTTCTGACACACACTATAAGACAGGGGGAGAGAGAAGGGGCCACTGTAGAGAGGGTAGGGTTGTGATATTTGGCCAATCAGTGCTACGTTTATAGTTCCTTTTCCTCAAGAGTTACGGCAGATAACTGTTCTGCTCATGACTTACTTGAACCATCTATTACTCAAACATTTATTACTATTGGTTTATGGCTATTACTAAACTGCTACTATCTTTTATCCCAATGTTCATTTCTATTGTTTTATGACTGCTTTAAGTGACAACTATTTTTTTCATGCAGCATTTTATTACTGTGACGGTGGCCTATTACTGCAATTTCCAAGCATATAAAGAAGCCCTGATGAAGAGTAAGTGGAACAACTAGGATTAGGGACAAAGCATATTATGTATATTATCACACTAATTCACAATTTCTTTTTCTGTTTTTTTCTTGCATTTTAAAATGCTATTAAGTCCACACAATACAGATAAATTATGGACATTTAATATGTTATGTGCACACAGAACAAGGGCTTTCCCTGATTATTTGCTCATTTCAAGTTGATGGGCATTTCCATACAAACTGGGATTATGTTGCTATGAAAAAGGGAGTTTATGGCTCAAATCTCAGCTCTGCCATGCATGTACTAAGTGACTTTAGACGAACTCCACCCTTTCAATTTCAGATTACTCTGCAATCCGGTGGACAGTAAAAGTTTCTTGCAGAATGGGAGTATGATAGAGCTACTTAGCAGACTTGTTCGTTTGTGAATGGTCAGGACTGGTTCTCTATTTGTCTCCCCCAGTCCCATTTCTAGCATGCATGGTGGTGAAGCTCGGCCAGGACTGGGTGCACTGCACACTTTTAGCCCCTGGGTGGACCTGGCAGCCCTTGTTTGTGACCCAAAGACATTTCACCAACTGCCTCTCAAAGAGACCTGCTCCTTGGGACAGGGGCAAGATCTTCCACCTGGACCTTTGACAGCATGATTCCTCTGGCGTTCAAACCCTTTCCAGAAACCATCACAGAGGCACTTCAGGTAGCCCATGTCCCATCTACCAGAGCATCCTATGCAACCAAAAGGAAGATGTTCGTACAGATTGTGGACCAATGCAGCCACCGGCCTTCTGATGCCACTTTGGTGGTCAGGAAAAAAATGAGCAAGAAAGTGGGAGCCAAACACATCATGAGTTGGAACTGAAGAGTGGAGGCAAGACATCAACCAAATCCCTTGTCTGTAGAAAGAAGAGGGTGTGTTTTATTTTATCCTTGCAAGTTTTAATTTTGGGATTAGCTCAGGGCCAGCATATATTTTTGATGATAGTACCAAAAAGCACTCAATTTTTCTTTCTAACTAATGAATGGGTCTCCAGCTATTCTTTGGTAAGTCTGAAGTATTCATATCCTTCTCCTGGCTCACTGTTACACAATTCTGCCAACTCACTGCTACACAATTCTGCTACTGATAATAAAGCCAATCTACCACCCTTGATTCTTATCTACCACCTCATCTCTGTTATATAATCTTATCTCTTGATGCACTTAAATAGCTGCAAACTGCTAAATGCTGAGATGCTTTTTGCTAAATTCATTCTATAGCATACAATTCAATGAAGATAGAAATACCTTGAATTATCTGGGGATGGATGGAGGAAATATTCAATTATTCAGCTATAAAGTTCTTTTGCACAGCTGCCAGTCCAATCTTTAACAATCCTGTCTTGCAACAACTTGTAAGAAATTTAGAAATGGTGGGGAGATCAAGGCTTGTGCTTCATTTCTGTTTGTGAATGCATAATGCAGTAGAGACGTGGGAAACTGCACTGAGCTAGGCTGGAAAAATGGAAGAATATAAACAGAGCACAATGGGGAAACTGACAATACGCTGATGTCTTCAGGTTTAAAAGAGGGTTATGAGAAATAGCTTTAAAACTGCTATAATGAAGAATCAAATTGGCATTCCTGTTGCCCACCTCAGAAATTGCTCTCTTTGGGAGGAAATGCATGGATTTTTCAGGCATTTGTGATTTTCTTCTAACCTGGCACATAATGGTCTGTAACAAATTTGTGGAAGAATGAACAAAAATCCATATTTTAAAAATCAATATCTGCATGCAGTTTAGGCACCTCATAGAGCAACTGAACTGCACATAGAATGGCCCTGTTCAGATCATCATATTTCGGTTTAATAAGCCAATGTGTGGGACATCATGTTTAAATATGTCCTTCTAAAGTGTCAAATATAGACTATTCTTTTCTTACATCAGCCATATTCTGAACACCCTTTTGCCTGCTCGTGCGAGCCCTTGTTTGTCCCTTTGTGGGGCAAGCAATCAAATCAGGAAGTTTCATTTATAATAGTAATTTCCCATTTCATCTAGACCGGGAAACTATGGTTACCAGCTGACAGAAGACATTCCACTAGTCAGAGAAGTTAATTGGATGGCACCCAGAGGAATTTTAGAGGAAATTTACTAAACTGAGGTATAAGAGAAAATGGGAAACAAATGAAGACACAATAAGTATGGAAGAACTCCATCTGACCAACTGCCTTGCCCTGCATATCTTCTAGTTTCAACCATGTTGCATCTGGAGGTGGGTCTTCAGGACAGAACAGAGATGCTTCTAGTGTGTGGCATACCCTGCTACCCAACTGTCTTCCAGATGGTCTTGAAGGTAGTGCTAATCCCTGCTGGCTTGTTTTGCTGAAGGATGAATATGCATGCGTGTGGAGGTGGCAACCAGGAGTCCCTTTTACCTGGGCCCCACCTATTCAACAAGTCACATTCTGGATCTGCTCCTCTCTGTGGGGTGAGATGATGGTGTGGAGGAACTTTCCATAGTTCGGTTGTCATGGACAGACCACTGCCTGGGGGGTTTGACCTACTAGAAGCAATACACCCCTTCAGAGTGTGTAAGATTTTTGCACCCCTTAAGATGTTTGCAGTGTAGATGTTCTCCTGGATTGATTAACACATCCCCCGGTTGCCACTGGCAACTATAAATTGTCTTGGGCACTCAAGTGATGACCCGGAGTAAGTGCCTGATAGGCAACACATTCCCTAGCATGTCTACAAGCACCCCCAGACTGACAAGTCACAACACTGCCCACTCACTGCTCTTTTGCTGTGAGCTGGAATTGCAACGGACTTTGCACACTGCAGGAGTTATAATGTGTTGTGTGTCTCCACATCCCGCTGTGTTCTGTCAATGCTAACAGGCATGGCATAGCTGTTTGGATCGCAAAGAGACAATTTACCGAAACATGCTGTCAGGATCTAGGCAAAACCATGGTTCCATTTGCTGGCTAGCAGCAGAATGATGACCCTTTAGTTGCAGGACTGGTCCCAGACCCTGCTGCAGTTGCCAGGGCCTTCATGAGCACCATCTGGGAGCCCCAAGGGAAGAGCTATTTAAGCGCTGGCTCTTCTGTTCCAGCACTGCTTCAGCAAAACTGGTCTCAGTGCCTGAAACCCTTCTCTGCATTTTGGATCTCGCTGTTCCTTGTTGTGCTGCCTTAACAGTTCCTGACCTCTGGCCTACTCTATGTTCTTGCTTATTGGACTGCACCTTGCCTTGTTCCACTGTCCACTCTTGGTTCTGATCTTGGTCTCTTCTGTATTATGACTTGGATTCATTACTAGACTGGTTATTGAATGCTAGACTTGCTTGACCCTGGTTCCAGTCGCCTGGGTTCTGATGCTTCCATCTAATATCCTGCTGCCCATTCCCCAGACCCTTACACATGCTTTTTAAAAGATTCAGTAAAAGGGTCCCATAACCATGATTTCCTATATATCCTTTTGTGCTCCTTCTAAATTACAAGTGCTAAAATGATCCAAAAACCCTCCCTTTAAAATATTTTCCAGTCTCAGAAAATTATACAGACTATGTTATACAGACTATGTTTTCAATGGTCTAAGATTTTGTGTGTATGTGTGTGTATCTGTCTATCCTTTCCCAAATTCAGGTATTTATCCATAGGCAGAAGACTAAGCATTTTGGGGGCCTAATCACTTTTGCAACCTTTTTTGTACATATACCATAGGGCAAGAAACATGCTAGCAAGAGAATAACATCACAGCAGTTTCCTCCAAGTGGCAAATTACCAGTACCAGACAAAATACAGATTCCCAGAATAGAAGTGTGACTTGTATGTAACACATATGTAGCAACTGCACATATATTGCGTTAAAAATTGATATTGCAGAAGAGTCCTTGGGCCATGACCTAAATGCAAATGTTTGGGCTTACTGAGTGGCCCTAAATCATATTGCAACAGTTAAGAACGTTGGATACCTTCAGTTTTATTTATGCCACAATAAATTTGGCACACTGATCCATATGCATTGTCTGACTATTAACACATTGGCATTCTTTGAAAGACCACATCCTCTATTTTCTAGCCTTAAAAAACTCTGACTCCCAAAGGAGAGACCGAACGCTATACTATGGTATGGCAAGCATGGCACCTAGCAATGGATAACACGCATCTTTAGCAAAGCAAGCAAGTACAGACATTAAAAACAATAAGATCACCAGGCTCAATCTAATGGAATAATCGTATTTGTAGGGGCTTGCTTAAATTAAATAAATGCCCACTTCTCATGTTGCATCCAGCAGTATCTGTATTTGCACATTCAACAAAAGCACAGCAGCTGGGTGATGCTGGGAGCTATAGCCCAAGACATGAGGAGGGGACCAGTTGGAGTGTTTGGAAGTAAAAAGGTATCCATGTGAAGATCACTTTTCTCTCTCTCATGCAACATAGGTGGGTCAAGGACCGGCAAAGATATCCTGGCACACATTGATGGGCGCAGACTGAAATAGTCTGGCACGGTACCTGTAATGCCTGGTGTCTCGAATGGGCCGGTCACTGCTGAGTTTGTCACTCTCCAGCTGATTGAAAGCATGTTGCCGATAAGGGTCTTCTCCAGCTTTCAGCAGCTTTGAGGATACATACGCCTTTTCATCAAAACCCCGTAAGCCATTTTTGTCTGCTTGTGGTGGCTTGGATGCCTAGAGAGAAACAAAACTAAGGGTTATTCCTGTGTAGGTGAGGACTTTGTAGCCTAATCCTGAACATGAGTACTGCTCATTTATGTTCCACTAATTTCAGTGGGCGTCCTTCACAGTAACTATGCTCAAAGTATTGTAGTCCTAGATCAGGTTATGTGATAATATTGAAAAAGCTCCATTTGTGAAAAATAGTAAAGCACCATGATTTTACATTCCATACACAATACATGATAAACATTAAGACCTTAAGAAAAACATGCTAAAATATCTATTTTTAAATTCCAAATAAAATGACCAGTGACAACCAATTAGCATTATGGTTGCCAAAAGTATGGTTCCCCAAAAATATTATGACAATATATGCCATTGAAGGAAATCAGTTGATTCTTTGTGGTGAGAATTAGCTCTTTGTTTTTTAAAAAAATATTTAGAGAATTATGTCAGGGAGCGGGGATAGGATTTTTCAGAAAAGCTAGTCCAGGCCACAGCACCAACCTGGAGGAGGCCTTCTGAACATGGGGCCCCATTCCAGGCTCCGCAACCACTCGGAGTGCTTCCATGGTGGCTGCCACCAACATCCTGGGCAGGAAGGGAGAAAACGTGGAGCCACTGGATCCAAGACTCTCTCAGCCCTCACTGTGCTCCCATCCCTGGGAACCGTCTAGATGAAAACAAGTTCTGGCAGTGGGTGGGACAAAGGAAGGCAGGCAAGCAGGCAGGCAGTGCTCCACTCCTGCTACAACCCAGGCAGAGTATAAAATGCAATGCATCTTCCATGGTTCTGTGAAACATCGCATGCAATGAAGTGACAACAGGATGGCGTTCAATGTGGATCAGTGCAAGGTCGTGCACTTGGGGCACAGGAATGGGTGTCATAAGTACAGGCCAGGGGACAAGTGGCTGGAGAGCAGCACTTGTGAAAAGGATCTCAGGGTGCTGGTTAACTACAGTCTAAACAGGAGCCAGCAGTGTGATGCGGCAGCCAAGAGGGCAAACACCACCCTTGGATGGATAGTCAGAAGTGTGGCTTCTAGACTGAGAGAGGTATTACTGCCACTCTGTATGACACTTGTGCGCCCACAGCTTGAGTATTGTGTTCAGTTCTGGGCCCCTCATTACAGAAAGGATATAGCAAGGTTGGAATCAGTGCAGCGAAGAGCAACTAGGATGGTGGCTGGTTTGTGGGGTAAGCCTTATGAGGAGAGACTGGAGGAGCTGGGTCTTCTCAGTCTTGAGAGGACCATTTTTCCCCTGCAGTTGAGGGCAGGACATGCTCCAGTGGAGCAAAGCTCAGGGAACCAAGAAGTAGGGTGGATGCCAGAAAGTACTTCCTGACAGTTAGGACCCTGAGGGTATGGAATGGAGCTTCCACGGGAGGTGGCTGAGGCCCCATTGGTGAGGCTGTTCAAGGATAGGCTAGACATGCACATGGTAGGCATGTCACGAGTGGAGCCAGCTGGAGCTGGGGGTCAGACTAGATGGCCCAGGAGACCCCTTCTGACTCACTCTGTTTCTGTTGCTAAGTGCTGGCTATGACCTGAAGTGAAGTTTGTGCCGGAAGTCCCAAATGATCATTGGTACAGAACGATTCATTTGGGTGGTGCATCACAATAACTCCTACGGAGGAGTTTTAAAGCATTATCTAACGACACATTGTTGGCCATGGCATATCATTGTTGTTTCTGGAGAAATGCGGAAGGACAGTGGGGGCTGTGAGGCTGGCTGGCTGCTGCAGCAGCAGCATTCGTGAGGGAGGATTATATTCATTTTATTTCTGCACCACCCAAAAGCTGATGCTCTCTGAGCAGTTTACAACAGCACATAAAATACAATGAAATATAGTATAAAATATAGATAATAGGAGAATCATAAAAGTTAACTACAAATCTAAAAGTCAAATTTAAAACCAAAATTTAAAAGCTGCAATATCTCATACCAATTAAATCACAAGCAGCTGGCTTCATGCCCCCATACTGATTGATTTGATTTCTATCCTGCCCCTTAGCCAGAACGGCTAAAGCTAATTGATCACCCTGACACAGAGGGCAGTCCTCACGTGCTGCTGGAAGAAAGTAGAGTTGGTACCAGGCGGGTCTCAGTGGGGAGCCATAATAGTCTTCTATCAGGCTGTGCTTGTGGTGAGCATTGCTCCCCACCCACACACTCCTGTTTTTCTCTCACGGGTGGGAAAGCAATAAATCATCCCTTTCTGTGCAGCTCCACTAACAGTGCTATTTCAGTAAGCTTTGCCATGTCTCCATACCCACATCCCCATACTCCAAAAACACCCACAAAGCCAGGAGACTAGACAAAAATGTCAGACTACACTGCAGGGTCTTCCTGCTGCACTACAGAGGTCTTCATCGAGAATCCATTGAGCTAATCAAAGAATCTGCAAAGGGAAACATAAAGGGAAGGCTTTTCCCACACTGAACAGTCCCATACACATTTGATGAAGAGAAATGCGCACCCCCAGAAAAGAATTGCAGCTTCCTGGGATCCTCCGATGCAGATTTCACCCCACCACTGCCACACCTGAGCAATTGTTCCCTCTGCTGGTACCATAAGCACTTTTTCCACATCCCAGGATGAAACGAGCTTGGTTGCTAGGATAAATGAAAGCTAAAATGGTTATGCACTGCATAGAAAGTATGATTGATTCCACAGTCTTGAAAGCTTTTCCAGGAAGCGCCACTTCACCAAGATAAAGCAGAGTGCACAAATAAAGAAAAATATTTGTTAAAATGGCTGAAGAAAGCTATTTGGGGGCTTGTTGTCAATTATTGCTCACACACCCACACAGGAGAGAGAGGGAGAAAGCAACGGTATAAGATACTCCTTACTGAAGAGACATGGGAAATGCATCCTATTTTGATTCACAGAATAACACAAAATATACATCTTTTCTTCCAGCTCTTAATATCCCAAAGTCTTTTTTTAAAACACATTGCAAATGCCTATTTTCCAAATGGCTGATATACAATTGACTATTCAGTGACGCACAATGCTAACATTTAAAACTATCCATTGGAATGTGGAAAGACAAAAGATCTGACTAGCATGCAGCTTTTGCATCCTCTAATATGCTGAAGAAGCCCACAAATTTTGTGGAATAAAATGATATAAGCTAAAATATTTTATCAAACAACAGGGACTAGTGTTTTTTATATGACATTCTGACAGGAATGTGTCCAGGTTAAATAAAGTCCTAACATGTTATGCCAATGCAGTGTGTCACCCATATAGTCATTTCCCTTTTTTTCTTTTTATGAATATGCCTAATGGAGTTACAACTCCTTCATGTCTTAATGTATCCAACTTGTATTCTTACCTTCCTCCAAGGAGCCCAGGACAATGTGTATGTCTGTGAGTGTGTGTGTGAGTGTATGTGTATGTGTGAAGGGGGGGTATCCCCCCCCACAATAACAATGCCAGGCAGGTTAGACTGACAGACTGATCTTTCCATTTGGTGTAAATAATTTTAGAGAACGTATTTACAACCAATTTCCTGTGGCAGTGAGTTCCACAGTTTAACTAGACTATGCAGGCATGAAGGTAGCCCACAAGGGACTACAAAGGATTTAGCTTTACAGGGTTGTTTTTTTAATGTTTCAGTCACAGAGACAGCTGAGCGAGTCACACAACAGGAAACTTATTGAATGGAAAAGACAAAGAAGAAAAGTGGGAAAGGGATTCAGGGCGGACAAATATCAGCATATGAAAACTGGTGTTCCTGAGGCAACCAGACTGGCAACATTGTTTCCTAAACAGATCTAGATGCCTGTCTTGTCAATTTCAGGCTGTCTGCAGCAATGATAGCAAAGCTTTGGCGCTATCAATTCCGACATGTCCATCTGCAATAGACTACCATTTGTCACTACATCCAAACTGTTACATTCAAATTGGTAAAAGAAGTTGGTTTTAACTGTGGTTTGTCTTGTTTAATCTAAACAAGTTAAGATTATAACCATGGCCTGTTGTTGGCTTATTCAGACAAATTGCCATTCAAAATCATAGAATAGTAGACTTGGAAGGGGGCATGAAGGCCATTGGGTAAAAGCAGGTTGCTTACCTGTAACTGATGTTCTTCGAGTGGCCATCTGTGCAGTCACACATATGGGTTCTGCGCCTGCGCAGTGCCTTTGGCCGGAAGATTAACAGCTAACGGTTTTTTGGCAGGGACTCTGCTCCCCCTCCCCCCTAGCAGTATATAAGGAGCAGAGTGACCGCCATTTTCAATCTTTGAAAGACCGACGTTCGGTTCCCTATGACATTGCACATTAGTACAAAAAGGGTAAAAAATAGCAGTACGAGCTATAGGAGAGATTATAATATCTAAGTAAAAATAATCGAACCACCCATGACACCAAGAGGGGTCGGAGGGTGGGTTGTGTGACTGCACAGATGGCCACTCGAAGAACATCAGTTACAGGTAAGCAACCTGCTTTTCTTCGTCGTGGCCTCTGTGCATCACACATATGGATAGAATAACAAGCTTACCCCAACCGGAGGAGGGAGGTGTCATTATCGAAGGACAGACGAAAGTACAGCTCTGCCAAAAGAGCAATCCTGTCTGGCACGGACATCTAGCCGACAGTGTTTGGCAAAGGTGCATGGGGTAGCCCAAATGGCCGCCTTGCACACATCCTCTATCTGAACTCCTGATGCAAAGGCTGAAGAGGCAGCGACAGCTCTTGTGGAGTGGCCTGTTGGAGTAGACGGTAAATCCAACTTGGCGAGCTGATAAGCTAGGACAATTGTATTAACTATCCATTTCGAAAGGCGCTGAGAGGTAACTGGAGAACCCTTGTCGCGCTCCGAATACTTCACAAAGAGTCTATTTGAATGCCGAAAGGATTCAGTCCTGGATCTATAAAAGGCTAAGCAGCGACGGACGTCCAGCATATGTAAAGATCTTTCTATTGGATTCGATGGGACCAGAAAAAACGCCGGTAACACAATTTCCTGTTGCATATGGAAAGAGGTAGCAACCTTCGGCA